AATCAAGTGTTCTGAAATCGTTTTATGCTAACACAAACCACGAAAAACGACTTCTTGATTCGAACGCTGAAGCTAAATCAAGTGTTCTGAAATCGACCAAGCTAACACCAACCACGAAAAATGACTTCTTGATTGAAACGCAGAAGCTAAATCAAGTGTTCTGAAATCGTCTTAAGCTAACACCAACACTGAGAAACGAGTTCTTGATTCGAACGTAGATGCTAATCAAGTGTTCGGAAATCATCTTAAGCTAACACCAACACTGAGAAACGAGTTCTTGATTCGAATGTAGATGCTAATCAAGTGTTCTAAAATCATCTTAAGCTAACACAAACCACGAAAAACGAGTTCTTGATTCAAACGAAGAAGCTAAATCAAGTGTTCTGAAATCGTTCTAAACAAAATCATGCCTATATATACCATTTCCAATGTTGAAAGTCATCAACTTTTCCAGGCATACTAATCAACAAACAACAAACACAAGTAAGATCTCAAATTCCCCTAATGGCACCATACTCACAAATCCTTCTACACACATCTTTATCCATATCTATTTAACATAGCTTCTCAACTCTTAAGCTAACACCAACCACGAAAAACAATAACCAATTCACCTAAATTCATTCTCATGCTTATATACATATCCATTTCTCATGTTAAAGTCATCACTTTTTTTGGCATTATCAATCAACAAACACAAGTAAGATCTCGAATTCCAATAGAACCATAACCAAATTATTGAACAACAAACCTGTCTGAAGAACAAGAGCGAGAGATGAATTCTTCTTCTTCTCGAAAGCTTTAAGGCTGATAAAACCAGCGAGAACAACAAGCAATCCAGTACCTGCACCTCCAGCGAGAGAAGTAATACTTCCTTTCTTCAAAAACCCTATAAATCCTCCGACGATCAGAATCATTCCGTAAGGTATAGTGAAGCAAAAATCATGCATTTTTTAGGATTTTCCGGGAAAAGTAGAATCTGGGTTTGATTTTTCCGGGAAAATTGGATGTCTCGGATTCAATTTTACAGAGATTGATCGAAATTTTTATAAGAGCGTGAGTGTGGTGAGCGCATGGAAGAAGTCAGCTTTGGCTTCGTCAACGGTCTCTAGAACGATAATCAACTACTCTCCCACTATTCCACTAAGATCCCATTATCTAGTGACATGACCATTATAACCCTCATGCGAGGAAGTAAATGTAAATTGATTATAGTTTATTATAATGATTAGTGGAATAATTTAAAACTTGAATTTATCTTTACAAACTATAATTTGTATCTAGAATAGATAATTGTTTAGACAACTTTAAAACTGTTTGATATGTATACTAATGTGATTAAAACTGTTTGATATGTATACTTATGTGATTAAAATTAAATTATACTTTCACATGTGTCATAATCACAACTTTAACTAATGACATTCTTTTTGTTACATATATATGTGGATATGCAAGTAGAGAGGTATATAACACGTAAAGATCCTTTAAAAGTCTTATCCCGTTTTGTTCTCGTCATATTCATTCTATTTTCAGTTTCAAATTTCCATACCATACGGGAATATATTCCCATATGATACAAGTTATTGATTTTCGTTTGAGAATGAGACGAGATGGGAACATAATTTCTCAAGTCTTATTTAGAAAAAATATAATTTAACTATATAATATTATATATAGTTGACTATATACAATAATAAAATTAAAAATATAGAGACCTAAGTTTCCTAATTTTTCTAATATGCAAATTATGTTGGTTTTTATTTAATTTTAATCTTTAATAATTAAATAATACTACATAGGTCAAGTTTGTTTTCATTTGTCTTCGGTTAACTTATATATATGATGTGCTATTAGGAAGTGAGCAATGGAAGAATATGTTTTGATTTTTGTAAATGTCATGGAAATTTTTTGTTTCATTCTCGTCCCATCCCATATTATAAATAATTTCTGCTACATTCTTATTCCCGCAAAGTTCCGTCTCACATTCTTGTTTGTCTAAGCCTAACAAAAATATTTGAATAAATTAAATGCCACTTAATAATAACAAAATTTCATGTGAACTTTTTATTTATTATGTAGAGGATATATTATGCTACTTGTAAGAGTTTAAATTAAATTATTACAAATGAGTTAGAAAATTATAATAATTTACCCATTCAATTCACAAAAATGTTATTTTGACACGTTTCACATAGATTTTTTTTTTAAATATGCAGATATGCACATATTTAATATAACACTAAATAAATGCTAATATAATTAAATTTAATGTTTATTATATTTTGAAAAAGAGGTAAAGTATGAATTATAGTTGAAAAGTTACACTCAAATGTATAACGATTGTTTTTTTCTATAAAAAAAACTTTTAAAACGACATTCTTATTTTGTAAAATGCCCGAGGTAATAAATATGTATAAATAGTTAGATGATACAAAACTGAATGTATAACTTAGGAGACATAATCTTTAATGAAAAAAAGAAGTAGAACTTTCATATCAATGGAGCTCATAATTATTCAATCAGAATCTTCCTCTTCTTCAACTTGTAGCGACTTGAAAAGCATCGATGGAACCACAAAATTCGCTACCAAATACATGGAGATCATTGCTCCACTGCAATAAGTATAAATCAACACAAGTAATTAACTACTTTAATTTCTCAATATAATACATAAAATTTGAAAATTTCTTTCTTACATAAAAAAAGAAAGAAAGAAGAAGAATAAATTGGAGAGTAGAGAGATTACCTTACGAGGAGGAAGGTAGTGATATCACCAGACTCAGAAGGAGGCATTACACTAGCTTTAGGTTTTAATCTAAACTCATTTTTGGGATAATTACTGATTTGCCATTGATGTTTACCTAATCTTGAAGGAGATGATGAAGATAAGAAGAACATTTGGTTTCTTCGTAGTATCTCTTTTTGCTTCGCTTGCCGATTCAAGACAATGGAGTTGGATGGTAATGGTTGATGATAACATACGCACAACATTTTCAGATTCAATTTTCTCTCTTTTTACAATCTTGACAACAACAAGAAATACAGTTTTGGTTTGAGTTATCTTTCTTCTTGTCCAAATTTGGTGAAGATAGATTTTTTGCCAGTCTTATGTAGCCACGTCACCATATAGCTTATGATTTTTGGACGTGAGTAAACTAAGATTAAAAAGGAATCTTATCTTCTTCTTTTTTGGCTTATTACAAGAAGCATATTTTATCATCTTAAGCATATGTTGATTATTATTTTGACAATTTTTTCTAATAGTGAATAGCTTAATCAAGTATTTTGTTTTTGTCGCTAAAAAGCGTTGCCTATTTCAAAACAATGTTATTGTGTTATTAAAATTTAGTGCTTTAGTGTTAACTATGTCGAGTCTTATTGTAATATACGCCTCCGACTCCGATGGGTAATATATGATTTAACAGTACATTAATAACCAATTTAGAGATGAAAGTTTTTAATTAATTTAACTTTTAGTTAGAATGTTATGGAGAGTACACGTGACAATCACTTTTCCATAAGTGCATTGTGATTATAGCACTTTCCTAAAACCTATTGTTATTTTGACACTTTCAAGATTTTTCGGACCATTTTGCCTTTACTACGCGTGTGGATGAGATTTTGTGGGTAAACGAA